GGTGGTCACTCATGAGAAATTCAAGAAGATGAGGGAGCTCAAAAGAAGGAATAAAAATTTTGGTTCAATAAATGTATGTACAAACGATCTTTATTGTCATAATTAAATGATATATGGTTCTGGTAAGTTTAATAGGTATTGTAGGTCTTATGTTATCTACTGAAAAGCTAAATATTTTTCCTCAGAACATACTGAATTACAATGATTTGCAGATGTTGTGACAAAGTCCATTGAGACCTATTTCAGGTTGCATATCTGAATAGTCATCTTGAGGTAATCTATCTTTAGGTACTTTGTTTACATGTTACTCTACTACGATAACCCAAGTTCCAAGGTTGGTTCTGACTTCTGACACATTATATTTTGTACTGAAGATCATGTTAATATTATCTTGCATGCTGATGTTTCTGGTGAGAAGTATGAGTATGACAGGCCTTTCATTTGACTATGTCCCACCTCCTTCTTACAATACTAAATTTTTCTTTTCATTAGTAGCACTAACAGCTGTGCATTCAACGCTACATACATAAGTTGAAATGAATGAAACTTGATAGACTAATCTAATTTATGTGTAAAATTAGTTTTTAACCTTTGTTTGTTATTTGAAAACACATATGTCAAATCTTACTCGCACATCAAAACCATGCAAATGGGGGATAAACCATCCTCATGTTGTTTCTGATTCTGATGTGAAATTTTTGTTCAAGCATGTAAAAAAATAAACCTGGAAAAATCAGATAGCAATGTTTCTACCCATAAGTAGAGTGTACAAAGCTCAACATATCACTCGTGTAAGTTTTGATTCTAATATTAATGAGTATGACTTTAAGGCATTTTCATTATTACCTTCTATAGGGAGATCTTAAAGAGGCTGATGAGCTATTCCTATCTAGATCAAGAGGTGGAAGGGAGGATGAGTCTGCTCTTTTCGAGTCAATTATGCAGAAAAGAATTATACCACCTATTAGTGCAGATCTCGTGCTCAATCAGGCGCCCGAATATCTCTTGTGGTTACTCTCAGTGAAATCAAATTATCAACTGTGATTCCATCCGTTAAATCTTCGATATTTATTTACTTCCTTCGTTTTTTCATTATTGCTTGTTCTCTTTGTTGTATGTTGTTAATGTGGGACAGTGGGAGGAAAAAGGACTCTATTGTTTTCAAGTCAACTATGTAGAAAATGATTAATTATACCATCCGGTGGTACTATAGATCTTGTGTTCAATCAAGTGCCAGAATAACTATCAGAGAAATCATCTTATTAATTGTGAGTCCGTCTACTTGGCCAAATCCCGAGCTAAATCTTCGACATTCATTTTCTTCCTTTTGGTTTTCATTATTTACAGGTCTAAAGAACTATATTCTCAATAATACAGACCACTAATGGTGTATTGGAATATAATTAAACTCAGTTGAATCTCATCAATGGAGGCTCGAACGGTTATCACCAGCCGAAATTATTATCACCAAGTCAGACCCAAGCTTCAACAATGATGGATTTCAAAGCTTTCCACCAAAAAAAATTCAATTCCGTACTTCAAAAGACCACACCAAATCAACTTCCAAATTCGTTTCAGATGTTCCACATTAGAGTCTCGACTCTCGAAATGCCTACTGACACAAAGCTTTTCAGTTTAGTTTTTACTTATTTACTTTTTAAGGTAAACTTATTTAGCTATGTATACATTTCAACATTTGAGAGTGTTCATATTTCTTTTAAAAGTATAAGTTTTTTCTAACACAAATGTGATTAGTTTTCCTAAATTGAACATCCATAATTCATGTAATATGATATTGGTACAATTTTCTTATCATAACTCCTTCTCTCTCTTACTTTTCTTATCTTGCATAGAGGTGATACGTATTTTTATACCAATGGGTGTGTAAAGAACTCTAAGTACTTAATGTTGAGTCTTGACGTTATAGTATTTTAAAATTTTACAAGCAGCTTATTAAATACTACATAATATACACTTATACTACGTGTTGTGTGAAGTTACTTAAATCTTTTTGTCTATGATGTGTAAAATTCAAATTAGAAAAATACTTATTGCTTTTAACCTCCTCTGACATAAAAGGCAAGTAGTATGTATAAAAATGCTTCTTTTCTGTCCATAGCGATAAATCAGATATGTCGTATATGATGTATCTTTGTTTGCTTGGCAGTGTCTAGAAGTGGCGTAATAAGCCATTTGATCTTGTATTCATGGTAACCTAAGTAACATAATTACTATTTGAAATGTGTGATTGAACATATATTGGTCCTGCATATTGCCATCTTATCTTAGTATTAGTTATATATATCAACAAATCTGATGATGATAAAATGAAGTTGTAGAAAGGATTAACTTTTGGCAACATTTAGTTTGGGATATTCATTCAAGCAGTGTACTTTTTGTAATTTATTCAAAAGTTTTCCTTATATGTGACTCTTTCTAATTTTCATTTATGCACTTTTTGCACTTCTGTTGCAGGTAACTTGTACCAACAGAGATGTATATCTTTATCAGGTAAGTGCTTTTTTCACTGTTGTTGCCTTCTTTGGGAGCTATTGGTTTGAGTTACATGGCATTCACTATGTCGATAAAAAATAACTTTGGGGAATAGATGATCACTGTTGTTGCCTTCTTAGGGGATATTGGTTTGAGTTAAATGGCATTCAACATGTTAATTAAAAAAAAAACTTCGGAAAATAGATGATCCATTTGGCACTCTGGATGAAGTTCTACAAACTTGCAAGCGGACTGAGCATCTCTACAACTGTTGGTCTGGCTGATCATGCTGTTAGCATCTGATCAAGTAAAGTTCGAATATGACAGATGAAATAAGCTGATGTACGAACTGCATGTCTTCATTTTCCTTTCCTCTGAGCTAAAAAACCATATCATACGTATAGAATTCTTTTGGGGGTACATTCAGATTTGTTGGAGCACCTTAGACATGATGTAAGATTTGTTAATATAAATTATTTTAATGGTACATGTCAGATAATTCAATCTCACTACACATCATAATATTGTTACGGATCATTTCAGTAGGTCATTATTTGTTTTCCTTCAAGAACCTAATAACCGTGAGACTGATTCTTATTAACGACCCTTCCTTCCCCATTTATTCCTGGAGCTTTTTGCATATTGTACTTGCATTTTAAAAAAATATATTTTTCTAATAATTTATATTTTATTAGGTTGCTACTACTCAAAGTGGATGAGAGCTTAATTTCCAACGAGTTCTTAAAGGCACCATAAAATTTCACATTATTGTAGAGCTATTTTTGATATTTGGAAAGTCAAACTTTTTTGTATCCTATGAGCTTGGAAGAAACTCATTTGTACTTAATTAAGTACATACTATATTGTACTATTAGACAGCCTTTGGTCGCAATGCTTTGATTTAGAGCTATTGGTGCATCTTAATTTTAGATATTGTTTCTAGTGTTTCACGGGTTTCTTTTTGCCATAGAATCATTGACATGAGACAAATAAAGTAAGTCATGCTTGCACGGCCTATTGTATCTAGTATATATATATATATAATGTAAAAAATCATCCATTGATAAAAGTTAGTCAAAAGATCGTTGACTTTTTAAAAACTTGTTAGTGAGTTAGGTTGACTTTGCAATATATAAATTTGGGACGCCTCTAATTGTAGAGGAGCCACACAAACAACAACGTACTATTTTTAAAAAAATTTATACTATTCCAAACTATTACTCATTTATTCGAAGCTTTTTTTTTTTTGCTCGTTGCAATGATGCACAATTCACATAGTTAAACTAGAATGATTAATTATTCCATCAAACTTAAAATCGTTTAATTCTTGAATTCAAACTATATCACATAAATTGAGGCGAAGTAATTATTTAAGGAGATGTAGAGATAATGTGTTGGTTCTAAAACAGAGCAAAGCCAACCCAATCAACATCGCTCACTGGTCGTTGAGGCGGCGACGACTCACGTGATGAAAACGAAGAGAAAAGTGAATCATGAAAAGGAGAAATTGACTTCCGGCTAGACACTGACCATCGAGAAACTGTCTCTAGATCCGACAAGCACCAATCTGAGGCAACTCCCACAGCGGGTCGGGTCAATAGATTCAAAACATGCCTATCTGATCGTGCCCGTGGAGCTGACCGGAAGGATCGGGTTCGGGGCTCCTCAATTGGTTGTTGGAAATTGAAATCAGCCGCCGGTGGAGGTTTCAGCCTACGTGGTGTTTCTGGATTTGGACGGCTCCGATTGTTCTCGGCTACTTCTTGTGAATGTTGAAGCTTGGGTACTCCGGGTCGGATTTCCCATTTGAACGGAATAGCTCCGGCCTGCTTAAATGATTCATCTGCTTCAATTTCCATTTTTTTAGAAAAAAATGACTGAAACTTACACTAAGTACTTTTCCTGCTAATACAATTTTTGCTCTGTATATATATAGTGAAGAAGAAGAAGAAGATTGATTTGATGCATGATCAATGGCGCAAGGAGTGGGGTTTGGTGGACCCTTGTTTTGAGATTTTCAAATAATCCATGCTCACGCACGGGCATAAAATACCAAAAATCAAATTATCAAACTGAACCGAATTTTTTGGTAATTTGTGATTCGATAATTGGGTATTTGATATGATATTCGGGAGTAGAATTTTAGAATTATGATATTTGTGTTTGAGTTTGGTACGAGACATTAGTACCTTTGAATACGTCATAAACTATTCAAAAAATTATAAAATTATAAATTAAATATAATTATTTAATATAATTGTGTAAATATTTTTGATAAGTATCCGTGGAAAAAACATTACTTATAATTCAAGAAGGACAAATCACCTCTCATTTATGTATTGACTTTTGCTAGTTTTGAACAAGAAAATGTAGAAAATAACGGAGTACTGGTTTTCTTATAATAGGACAGATGGGAAGTTGATCATGTTCAAAGTTTTGCCAAACTTGAGAAGATTATACATTGGCTAAAATTGTGACTTAAACGCATACATAGATATAGTAATAAATAACACCTTCTCCCTCTTAATTGTTGATTTGATAGGATTATTAAGAGGTTAAATTCAAGATGTTGGGGGATAATGATAAACGATATTTGCATATGATTTTTTATTTATTTAGCAAATAGTATTTGAAATTTGAAATTAGCAATAATGGTTATTTCGAGGTGTTGTCTAAATAATTATGTTGCAAGACTTGTGAAAAGACAATATGCAGCCAATATACTCCCCCAAGTGTTGAATAAGTGTACAAACATGGAACTGGACCAGCTTTAAAGTAAATTCAGTGTTTTGATAATTGATAAAAGAGTACGTAGAACAGTAAGTTAAGACTATTTTTCAGCTTTTCCCCTAAGGTGGGACCCTTAGCCTTTTCCTAAAATGGAACTATATTGGCATGTTTTGAGAACAGTATTGAGCACCGAGGTGGGTACAGTTAGATAATTCAAACTTCATAACTTTGCAAGTGTAGGATAGGATCGTATTGTTGATTCGGGCAACTCCTCATAAAGCCCCTGGTAAGGGTTTAGTTATTGGATCCATTAGTTCATCTCGTCCTTTATCCTGACAATGTATTAGATGGCTCTGACAATGTGGGCAAGACGTGGTATCATTACGAGGCTCATAGTGATGGTTGTCTATTAGAGAAACTCCCCAAGAAAAGTAAAGTATTCTATTTTAGCATTTGATATCATTGTATATGACTAAGTTGTAATGTTCTATTGATTTCAATACACTTCCTTGCTTTACTTTACAGTTATCTATTTTATAGTTCTTTTCTGAGTTACTCTTTTAGTTAAGTATATTCCGTCATTTTACATAATGTACATTATATGTACTGACGTCATTCGGCACTGCATCTTTTAATGATGTAGATACATGTATTCAAGATCGACAATAGACACTTCATTGAGATCCTCTCCATCAGCTTTTGGTGAGACATCCTTACTTTCAGAGGACTCCAATTTATTTATGTCATTTAGTTTTAGTAGAACATTCTAGTTCATTATTCAAGTAGTCGTGGGTCTTGTTCCACACCTACCTTAGTTTAGTAGTGGCTTCATAGACAAGTTAGTGAGTCAGTTCAGTCTTTGATCATCAGATGTTCACGTATACCGCCAGTGGGCAACTTCAAAAAAAAAAAAAAAAAAAAATCCCGCCAGTGGAATGCTGCAAATACTGTCCTATCAAATTAAGAAAATATTTTGACAAGATTTTGTGAGTTCTTTTGAGATATATATTAACTCAATTCTTAATGATCTGAAATAGATTGAACTAATAAATTAACGATTTTTTACTCATCTAAACTTAAACAGATTGGATAGATTGAGCTTGATTTTGGCACCCCTAATTTCATTTCATTTAGTGTTGATGGCGATCAATGGTGATGGCTTTGGTTGATTATATAATATGAAAGTTGGTAATATTTTTGTTTTGCAGAATCATGTTGTCAACAAGATCACTTTCTTCTCCTTTCATCCAAAACCTCGTTATGGATCAAGTTATGGCTGCTATTATCAGAAATCGGTCATTTGAGGCTTCAATTCTCCAACCCATTTGGACTGTAGAAACAGTTTCTCAAGTCTTAAGATCAATCCCCAGATTCCTCTTCCAATCCCCAAGATCCATCGGCCGACAAAATGGGTTTCGCTACCGTACCCCATTAAAGCAGAGAAATCTAAAACAAGAGTTCCATAACGCTCAGAAGGGAGTACTCATTCTTGGCCCAGCTGCTCATAGAGATCCTCAAAAGGTACAATTAGGATTAGAGAAAGCATTGGAATTTTTCCATTGGGTTGAGACCCATTGTGGGTTTACTCACAATGAGCTCACTTGCAGAGAGATGTCTCTTGTTCTTGCCAAAGGGTCTTGTAATTCGAAGCTTCTTTGGGAATTTCTCAAAAGAATGTCGAGAAGAGGGCTTTTGACGACACCGACTGTTACGTGTTTGATAAAATGCCTAGGAGAAGAAGGGTTGGTAAATGAAGCATTGACTACTTTCTACAGAATGAAGCAATTTCACTGTAAGCCTGATGTTTATGCTTACAACACTCTCATATTTGCTCTTTGTAGAGTTGGGAATTTCAAAAAAGCTAAGTTCTTGATGGAGCAAATGGAGTTGCCTGGTTTTAGGTGTCCACCTGATGTCTTTACTTACACAATCTTGATTAGCTCTTATTGTAGATATGGTATGGAAACTGGCTGTAGAAAAGCTATTAGACGGAGAATTTGGGAGGCGAATCACTTGTTTCGCGTCATGCTATTCAAAGGATTAGTTCCTGATGTAGTAACTTATAATAGTTTGATCAATGGATGCTGCAAAACTAATAGGATAGAGAGAGCATTGGAGTTGTTGGATGATATGGTGAAAAGAGGGGTTGTGCCTAATCGAATTACGTATAATTCTTTCATTAGGTATTATAGTGTTACAAATGAGATTGATAAGGCTATTGAAATGCTGAGAAGAATGCAAGGAATGAATCATGGAGTAGTACTACCATGTAACAGTTCGTATACACCGATAATTCATGCTATGTGTGAAACTGGTAGGGTGGTGGAGGCAAGAGATCTTCTTGTCGAATTGGCTGAACAAGGTTCGATTCCAAGAGAATATACTTATAAACTAGTTCGTGATGCTTTAGAATCTTCTGGGAAGATTGATTTGCTTGATGAAGAATTGTGTACAAGATTAGAAGATGGTATTAAAGGTAGGATTAGACAAGTGATGAAAGTAAAACCTTTGTTGCAGCATCAAAGTGTTTCATAGCCTTTGTTGCAGCATCGAAGTGTTTCATAGCATTGAATTTTATACTTTTTATCTATATTGCTCAGACTCTTCAAAAATGTCGACGGGTGCGTGTCGGATTCTCCAAAAGTAGTGTATTTTTGGAGAATTTGACACGGATGCAATATCGAAAGTGAAGAGTCCACACAACTTAGCTTTTTATGGATTTTGATCTTATAAAATCACAAGGGATTTAACTTATATAATGTAAAGACTATAAAAATTTGCTGGCTCTGAATCGGCATTTAGCACCGGAGGTCGTGTCATTGGAAAGTTTTGAAGTTCTATTCTTCCTGCAAATACTGAGGCGAAACTATGTACTAGGGATTGGATTTGTGGACAAGAAGGTAAATTTATCTTCTCTAGTTTCATTTGTTTCATTTTATTTAGTGAATTTGCATTTAGAACTGTAATGACTTGTTTTTTCTAAAATTGTTTAAGATCTTGATGGATTCGAATCAGATTCTGATGAAGATGAGATTGTTTTGACCTTCAACCTTATGTTGATAAACTTAGAGGTAAGATTTGAGAGCAACTCACATTTTTCTGCCTTTCTTTTATATTGTTCTTAGTACTCTCTGTTGTTGATGACAGTTTATTATCAACTGTTCTCATCTTTCTGAACTTAGATATGTAACTTCACATTTATTAGAATGTGTAATGAACCATCAATTCTTGATCACTGTTGCTTTTTTTTGTTGTCCTAAATACACTCGTTGCCTCTAATAGCTCTGGTTAAAATGTACTCGATCTGGATCTTTCCGAATTCAACAGAGTGATTTAGCAGATCGCTCCCAAGTTACAATTAGTGAAGTAGTGAGCATGTTTGGTATTTCTGTATAGATTCTTCATTGAGGAGATGTCAACTCTCCAAAATCCATCTTCTTCTTTTTTTTAATAGCAGAACATTGAGATTTGTTTGATCATTTTGGAATAAGGTGCTCTTTAGGTGTATTTGTTTTTGTTGTTAATGGTAATCTCTACATTAACCAAGGCGATTGTCGTCTTTTCTAATAGCAGCACATCGAGAGTGTGTTTGTATTTATAACATTGAGTCAATTTTCAATGGAAATGGATCTGGAGCTGCATGGTAGTAGTTCTCTAAACTCTCTCTGTGTGTGAGAGAGAAAAGTGAGAAAGCGAATTCAGTTTTTCGATATCCTGCATATGCGTATATTAGCTATCTAAAAATTTCTGCATACCTACGATTTTATTTTATTTTTCTTTTTCTGTCAGATCATCGCATCTCAAAGGACAATCCACAATAGCAGAAATCACTGAGAGTTTGTGGAAATTTTGTTGGAAGTGGTGGCCTTGTGGGTGCAGCATCTTCGTCTTTTTAGAGTTAACATGCTGCCGAGCAATTAACCATGGATCTCCAGTTGATCAGTTGGCGGAAGCTGGATTAACACCATCTCATATTGCAGCAACAATATTTAACGTACTTGGACAAACCATAGAGGCTTTAGAGGTCATGGCATAAAATGGAATAAGTGTTTGAAGAACTGTTAGAAAGTTGTCATGTAGTAACACACAAGAGACTACATTGATGCAAGCCATTGAATTTGATTGAGTAGAAAACAAAACAACTTTCTATAAAGTTCACAAATGTATCTCTTTTTTTTAATAACAATTTTGGTGGATTAGGCAGACTTAATTGTCATTTGACAAAAGTGTTCCAGTCACAATTGTCTGATTTAGTTATTTAATTCTGACACTTGTGATCACCAAGTCCACAAATGTGACCAAATTGTAACGAGTATCATCTTCATTATCCAAATTGATCATTTAATGTCTTTAAATGCTTTATGACTTGGTCATTTTGGAGTTCATTGAGCATGCGAAAAACTTGATTCATGGAATAATATGGATTGGGTAACTCATTTTTACCCATTTAAAATATGAGTAGAGTATTTTACCCATTTTTATTTAACTCGTTTTCGATCGACTCATATTCGGCTCGATCCGCTCGTTTGTTAGGAGACTCCTAGTATAAAATCATTCATTGATAAAAAGTTAGTCAAAAGATTATAGACTCTAGACCTTATTTAATCATGGTCTTGTCCATTTTGCCTTGTGCAGTTGGTTTGATTTTCTTCCATTTCAGATTACCAAGTTTTGTTGGTAGACAGTCCTGACCCTTCGACAAGCTTCCCGAAATTTTGTTCCATAGTAAAGTGCAATACGTGATAGGTAGATTAGTTGCACATTTCCATTTCAAATGTAGCCACAAAAAAAGTTCTGATTGATGATCAAATATTGAGCTCCACAGTCCTAAAAAAGTAAAAACTACTGACTTTTTATAAAATTATTTGTGAGTTATGTTGACTTTGCAATAATGTTGATAGTAGAATCTCCTTGACATGCCAGTCTCCCATTAAAATCATTAGGTTGGGGTTCAAGTCCCACGCCATGCAAAGCGAAGCCCGGCATTTAAGTGGAGAAGGGTAGAGGGGCAGGCTCATTATCCACCGAGTTTAGAAGGTTGTGATTGGTCCAAAGGGCGGGTCACAGACGAATTTCTCGGTTATCAAAAAAAAATTAAAAAAATGGGGCACCTCTTATTGCGGAGGAGTAAAACAAACAGCTACTAAGATTCTCAAATCAAAATTATGTCACGAAAATTGAAACAGAGCGAGCAAATAACTATTTTAGGAAATGTAGACGCAAAAGAAATAGTAAAAAAAACTGTGTTGGCTCTAAAACAGAGCAAAGCCAACCCAATCAGCATTGCTCGCTGATCGTCTTGGCCACGACTCACGTGCGAAAACGAAGGAAAGTGAATCATGAAAAGGAGAAATTGACTTCCGGCTAGACACTGACCATCGACACTGTCTCTTGATCCGACAAGTAATCCGGTCCCGGTTCGGGTCCATTCTTATGACTCTTCTTCTTCGTATTCTTCAGCAATGGGCTGAAGGAGACGGAAAGCACCTATCTGAGGCAACTCCCATAGCAGGTCGGGTCAAACTTATACTTGTACTTTTCCTCCTAATACAATTCTTGCTATATAACACATATATAGTGAAGATGAAGATGAAAGATGAAAGATGAAATGCATATATAAGCCGTTATCTAAGTAGACAAATTTATGAGGCAAAGAAGTAAGAAAGACTACAAAGCAGACTTTCCAATAAACCAAATAAGCCGTCGATTAATGTGACTTAGCAAGAAGTTTTGATAAGAGGAATACAAATTCAAAATGCCATGTCCTGTGGCATGTTGCTAAGCGCTTGCATTGTGCTGCTTACAACATTCAAAAGTTGCAAATACTCATCCGCTCCGTCAACAAGACACTGCAGAAAAAAGAAAACATAAGCACATCATTGTCAGCTAACTGTGCCGGAAACAGTCAATTCTATGGTGCTGATACATTACTCCACTTAGCTGAACTCCAATTCTAGGGGAGAATTTCAGATGACACAATTATTAATACAGAATTCACAGCACACAGCTATTCATTAGTCAGTATTCTAGTTCCCTGGAAAAGAAAAAAAATAACCAAAACTATTACTCACGTCTCATTTTGTATGGCATTGTTGTCATTTAAAGAGTCAAAACAAGTTGTACTTTTGACTACAAATTAAGAAATCAATGTACTAATTGATGCAGAGAACTATATGTTGGGACCCTCGTAGTTCTAACCCCATCATTCTTTCAGAGATGGAGGAAATAAAAAATAAAACACAAAGGAGTATAAACAGTAATAATCACTCTTAACTACAATACTATTAGAGTAAGCTGAAGAAGAGGAATAACCTTGTCTGCTTCAGCAAATTTCTTGCATATTCTTGCTTTCTGTTCATCAGAAATGTCGTCTGCATCAACTACTATATCATACAACTGAAAGAAGCAGCATGTTAGTACAAAATGTTAGCATGGTTGAATGAAAAATGAGATGATACACAGATATTGGGACCTGAGACAGCATCTGAGAAACAGGATATCCTTCTGCAATGACATTGTTTACTTCTTTGTTTGCCAAGTCAAAATTGCCACTTCTGCAAGCTGAGAACATAGCCTGAACAACTTCATTTGGGATGACCTGATCATAGTAATTGCACGTCAGTTGCTAAAACAAGTGTAGAACCCTAGTATTTAAGTGCAAATAGGGCAGATGGATGGGCTTATACTCCCCTAAGTGTTGAATAAGTCTACAAACTTGGAATTGGACCAGCTAACTCAGACAATTTCTCGGTTATAAACCAAAAGTACAGTATTGACCATGACTTCAGATGTGAGCTTATATGTCAAAACAATTGCAGCAATAGTTGAAATCTATTAGAAATGAATAAATGAAACTGTTTTCGTGAAATCAAGTTACATTACATATATCTTAAGATTTTTTATTTTTCATCAAAGAAAGAAGCACATAAAAGTAGGTTGTCACTTTCACAGACATGGAAGTACATCAATAATCTAAAGGATGATTCTTTCATGAAGTATCCTTTAGGATTGGGAATGGCACCTCTGTTAAGTTTTGGAAAGACAAATGGTTGTTTAATATTCTTCTAAAAGACTTCCATCTAGACTCTCCCTCGTAGAAGCAGAACTAGACTCCACAGTTGCAAGCAACATGGATGGAAACATTTGGGATATTCGCTTTAGAAGAAACTTTCAGGATTGAGAACTGGAAGAACTCACTGATCTGCATAAATTGAATTATATGTAATGATAAATATATTAAGTTGAATTCTATATCTACACATACCAAAACCATAGCAAAATCCTAGTACCAATCTAATCATCTTTGGAAGGTCTTCCAGTGAATTCTCAAACATCAAACAGCCGGAAATAGGGAAATTCAAGCAAAGAAGTGTTTTCAGTGAAGGCAGGTTATAGCAGTACGAATGCTGTCAATGTTTTGACTGGTCCTTGGCCTTGGAAACTGATATGGAAGACAAAACTACGCACCAAAGTCAAGTGTTTTACTTGGACAGCCCTCAAAGACGCCATACTAACTCAGGATAATCTTTTAAAAAAAAAGGATCTCGCTGATGAACAGATGTTATATGTGCCAAAAAGACTCATGAGTCAGTTAACTTTTTTTTTGGCACTGCCCTGTTACAGCAGACCTATGACACATGTTAACAGTAATATCTGAAATCAGTTGGACAACCCCAAACAGCTTAAAAGGAGCAGTTGAAAGTTGGAGCTTATGGAAAGTAGATAGAGTCATCAAGAATATCTGGCAAATGATCCCAGCATGTATTTTATGGTGTTCATGGACAAAAAGGAACAGTAGATACTTTGATGGGACTTCAACTCCTAACTGTGCTCTAAAAACCAAGTGTTTAGTTAACCTTTTTAGTTGGAGCAAATTATCCCCGGTTAATGATGCTATGACCTTTTAGAATTTATTAGCTCCCTCTCAGTGGCTTAGCAGCCTTAAATTTTTCCTCATGGTTTCAAGCTCCCAGCTTCTAATAGTTTTTTGCAGTGTAAGGAGCTTTAACCTTTCTTTGTAAAGCTTTATGCATCTTTCTTGATGCTTTTCAGTACAACTTACTTCATCAATTTTATGAAAAAAAATTGAATATGAATGTATGGCTACAAGTTGTCAACTCAAATAATAATAGATGTTTGCAAAATCACCGTGCAAATCCACGAGTGATTATATTTGAAATAAGTAACGAGCATACAGTATGCATGCTCCAATTTGAAGAACATTGTTAAGAAATTGTCCAGGTTCTATATTAGAATCTTTATATTTTCAGTTAAGAATCCGTAATTATTGACACCAATCAAAAGGATTTTATGCTTGCTTTCTCATTTTAAGACTTTTTTTTTTGTTTTTTTTGAGAATGGTAACTTTTCTCATTTTAAGACATTTAAAGACATTATCTTATCCTCAGAGCATGACTAGTCAAGCAAGACATTCCAAAACATTTTCTCTTCTTTTCCTTAGTTTTAACTACTACTACTCCTAAAATTGGTAAATAAACTTTCTCAGATTAAGCACATCAGCATAGCCCAATTATCAAAGGCTCAGATGCCAAAGAAAATGGTGAAATTTATTATAGCCTTCATTGGAAATAAAAGGAATAAATTAGAACCACACATAAAAACGCACAGTATTAATAAGGAGAATGTCTTAAACATCTATATATTGCTACATTAATAGCCTGTTTGGATTGGCTTATTTTAGGTGCTTTTAAGCAAAAATAACTTTTAAGCAGTTTTTTAGTGCTTGGGTAAAATAAAAAAAGTGCTTTGGGTAAAATAAAAGAAGGGCTTATAAGCACTTATTTTTAAGCCAAAACCAGTCAAAGCCATACGTTAGAATTTTCTTTGGCTTTTGGCTATAAAGTCATAAGCCAAAGCCCATCCAAACAGGCTCCAAGTATTATATACATCAAGGTAAAGAAAAGGCCCGATGCATAAATCAACAATTTTCCGTCCAAAAATTTTTAATAGATGAACGCATTGATCATGTGAAAGTTTAATGATGATCCCCTAGTTGGTCTAAAAGCAATATCAAACTAACAATACAAAACCAGATATGAACTTACCCCAGACACACTAATCAGTTCCTTTGCTGATATGGAAGATCCAAATAACCGAGCAGCACTCTGCAGCAATTCAAAATGTTACCAATCAATTTTCAATGGTTGATAATATAGTCAGTAAGTAAAAGATGCCAAGAACGCAGAGGCT